GGGGGGGTGTGAATAGGGTTTATGCTAACCTAATCTTATTTTATGCTAATTAAAACTAATTAATAAATATCCTAGCAAGTATAATATGTGACAAGATATATATGCAAAGATATACAAATAACACAAGGGTGAAACAAACAAATGTAAACAATATAGTGGACAAAATAAATAATGAGACAATGACGATATGAGCAATGAGCCCAAATATAAATGAACGCCAATGCAAACTCAAACACAAAAGAAATAATCACGGAGTTCAAACATTCCGTCCTACGTCTCTACTCCCCACTCCCGGAGAGAAATCCACTATCATACCGGGTTTTCAACGCTCACCCGAAAATGTTTACACCAAACAATATCGATTTTCAACACTCACCGATCAATATTCACAATCACTCACAATGAAACTCCATAAATACCACCTCAAGTATTGGCCTCTCACGTGTCTTCCTTAAGTACTCGGAATTACTACCTCTCACTAGACTTTACTACCAACGCCACTCCTCTTGGGACCGATCACGTCTCTCACCTCTACACTCCTCTTGGTGTACTTGTGCAATACAAAGTGAACCTCACAATATTGCTCAACAACAAATGAATGTTCTCTATACAAGGTGGGAACTCAATTAAGCCCAACTCTATTACAATCTCATAACCCTAAATATACTAAGTATGAGAATACTAAAAGCTCAATGTGGGTGTGTGTAACAAAGAGATAAAACAAATATAAACTCAAATAAAATCTAGCTTATGGAAATTAAGATCAAACATATAAATTGCTAGAATTGAGTTTAAGAAAAAACTTCTCTATATAACAAGAGTAGGAGAGATGATGTTGAAGCCCAAACAATGAAGATGATCCCCTCCACTCGTGAAAACTTCTTCACAAACCAAAAATTTGATTTTCTTGAAAACAGACTAAACAAACTTGTAAACTCTTTTTTAAAACTCTTCTTAGATCATAATAGAGCTGGGTATGAGGGGGTATATATAGGAGACCCCAAAACACAAGAAAAACCCAGCAAAAAGACAAAAAACCTGAAAAATAAGGAGTCTGAAAAACTAGTCGTTATGTAGTTATAAGTCGACTTGCTACAGTGATAAGTCGACCTGTAACTAGCCGTTACAGTCAAAAAAATCAACACATAAGTCGACTTGTAAAATGTATAAATCGACTTGCTACAAGTCGACTTGCGTTGTCTGATAAGTCGACTTGGCCGCGATAAAATGAACATTTCAGAGTATTTCATAAGTCGACTTATCAACCCTGATAAGTCGACTTATGAACATGCACAGAGACTGTGCATGTCCAAAAATTAACTTTGAAACCTTAATTAAAAATAGCAAATAAAATTAGAAAAATGTAAAACTTTGAAAAATGATTGTAAACATGATAATAAACATGTTACAAAAAGTATTTTTGGAATTAC